TCACCTGCCTCCCTATCCATGACCACCAAACTCTCTTCTGATTGGTCCAGACATCTGTCATCACTGTCAAACACCCCTTCTACACTTCACATTATCTTTCATTATCTGTTTTTAGTGACTGAACCAGTAAAACATCACAAATATTGAATCTCTCAGCCTCTCTCTCTCTTTCTATGTCCCTCCATCTTTTAATCTCTCTTCCTCTCTTCCTCTCTCTGTGTTGATCTATAGGTCTCCCTCATCTGCGATGTGTCTCACGTCCTCCCCTTAAACGCCCGTCACTTTGCCTGTCAAGGTTATCGGGCCAGCGTGTAAACAACAGAGAGCTCTGCTGATGGGATCGCACGCACACACACATTCATTCGCTGGAATCCCTCTGTGTTGTCGTGGTAACAGATGACAAAAGTAGATGGATTGAAAAAGGGCCAGGCCTGAACCCGGTAACACCGCAGACTCACTTAACAAGAGGTACAAGAAGACGAGATGGGAAGACTGATACAGGTTTCATCACCGGCTTCACCTGGATTCACCGGATCTGTGTGTCTGATAAACAACACGGCCTAAAGTAGGTGTTGAACCTGGCTGCAGGGATTTGTAACCAGAGGAGCTTTAATGAGGTCCAACACTGATGTTGGATGACGTTCCAGTTCATCCCAAAAGGGGAGTAAGTCCAACGTGGGGTTTTCCCAGTTATTTGGGGAGCATAGTTGCTGTTTTTTTTGCAGCTCTATTCTTGAATAGTACAGACTGGAACTTCTTTAGACATTTAATGTAGCTAAGAGCAACAGTGATACACTGGTCTTCTATGCGACATTTACCACAAACATATGTAATAATGGAAAATTGGACAGCTGCTTAATGAACCTTGAGGTGAGATTGTTTTTGTCAACACTACTGTACTGGCTGCATGCTACACAACCAGTCTGGACTTGGGATTGGGCGTGTTGTTGGCAGAAGTATCAGTTTCATGAGTTTTTGAAATGTTATGTTAGTTTTAGGTGAACAAGAGTAGAGTTCACCTCAAACTCAACCTTTATTATTTCAGTTTTCCATTCTTAGAAATCAATCATTCTTATATCTATCAACGGATTAATCCTTGACTGATGAGTCTAAAGTAGTGTTATTTATTTATTGAAAAAACACTTTTAAGAGGCTGTAACAAAGCAAATGTAGGATTATCAAATCTCTTCTTCATTTCCCCACTAGATTTAATTTAATTTAGTGTTCACCGTGGTCCACTCCCACTTTTTCTCTGCTTCTGAGGATGCAAGAACACTTGAAAACATGAACACAGTTACTTTATTTTAAAAGCTTAAGCTCAGTAACTGTAACTTGGACTGCAGCTGGAGCTGCTGTTGGCTGTTCATACAGAGTGAATCAAAACAGCTGTCCAAAAAGGGTTTTTGGATTCAACTGAGTTGCAGCTTTCATCTCACAGTGTGTGGTGCCAAGAAAACAACTTTTTATTTTTTAAGTAAACTTGATATTCTGAAATTAAAGTCGTATTAGCATAATATCACCCCTGATATTTATGTCAACCTCAAAGAATCTCTGCAAATATTCCCTGTTAAAAAACGCCACTTTCCAACAACAGCAGGCTGCAATAATAATGATTTACACCTGCTAATTAAAAGCCCAGCTGCTGGATGTCTGAACGCGTCTGCATTAAGCTGTGATGAGGATGACATTAACTTCTTCATTAGGCTTTTGTTTTTACTTTTCTCCATCTGTGTGTGTGTGTGTGTGTGTGTGTGTGTGTGTGTGTGTGTGTGTGTGTGTGTGTGTGTGTGTGTGTGTGTGTGTGGGGTGCGGAGCGGGATGGGGGTTTACAAGGTGGAGTAAAATGTTAGGGATATGTCAACTAGGAGTGGTACTGCTCAGATAACATATATGAGTGAAAAGTATTCAGCTGTTAGCCTCCGAAACCAAACACAAAGTCAAACTGTCCACTTCTGTACAATATATGAATCTTACCAGGCTAATGTAATGAGGGATAATTAGAGGGACAAGAGGCCAATCAGGACTCTTTGTTACTTCTCTGTGAGTTGGATCTCAAAGTTGCACACTGGTATTATAATCAAAGAGAAGTGTTACCAAGTATGTAGTACGACTAAACTGTAAAGCAGGAGCCAAAAGAGATTCATTAAAAAGAGATGAAAACTATAAACTATGCACTTAAAACACCTCAACTGTATTAAATTAACTACTGAAAAAGTGGTACATTTCAGGCTCTATGAGAACTTTTGATACCACTCAGCCTGATGTAGTCACAAAAACACAGTAATTATTATTACAGGCACCCATGGCTTTTAAATTAATGTCTACTGTTTATGTGCATTCATTTGAAAACACTACTTACATTGTACTTTCTATTTTGTTAGTTTTTAATTACTTTTTTGGCGCCCCTACTTTGTATTTTAATGCTTCATTACTGAATCTTATATAAGTAAAATCACCAACAACACAAGTTCAGATAGTTTGGGAATCTGATGTTGAACAAAACAGTGGTTAAATTTTGATAAAAGATAGATTGTAGATCTTTTTTCAGGCAAAAGTGCCAAGGTTCCTGCTTCTCTAATTAGAAGATTTAATGGTTTTTCCTGGTCATATATGATAGTAAACACAATATGTTTGGGTTTGAAGAAAGCACATTTGAATCTGTGAACTGTGATCATTACTTGTGTGTCTAGAATCCAGACTGTTAATAAAGTTACATGGCTGAAGTATTTTCAAGTAGAAAACTATTTAATTATACTTTTAGTTAGTTTCAGTCTCACCGGTTATCAAATCTAGACTGATACTCTGAACTCATATTTATGATCCTGTGATCTATGATCTACAATCAAAAGCTCCACAATAGGCCCTTTCAATCAACTTTTTAGCCAACAGAGAACTCCTTAAAGAATGACTCAACACCCCCTGGAAATCATGTTTTTGCTGACCTTTGACCTTGGTGCAGAGGTGTACAGGTGCACTCCAACACCCTGTAATATCACAGACTGTGAGAGTCGGCGCTGGAAACACAGAGAGTTCGCTGGAGCTTCGACAAAGTCACCAGAAGCACATTAACGGCCGTTTGTAAAAGTTTCTGCGTGGCACCTGTGTTGGTTCAGAGTGGCAGGCCACAGTCTGTAGAGTGAAGACGTTGGTTTTATAGGAGCCACCACAAACGTTACCTGCCACCAGATCAGCCAACATTACATTTTTATAGCACAATATTAAGACTCTAAATACTTGGACCTGAATAATCAGCAACACTTATAAATACCCATATACATCGGTTCTTAAAGAGCTCATAGTACCCTATTACCCCTCTAGAACACTACGTTCTCTGAATGCTGGGCTACTTGTGGTTCCTATAGTCTCTAAAAGTAGAACAGGAGCCAGAGCCTTCAGTTACCAAGCTCCTCTCCTGTGGAACCAGCTTCCAGTTGTGGTTCTGGAGGCAGACACCCTCTCCACATTTAAGAGTAGGCTTAAGACGTTCCTCTTTGATAAAGCTTATAGTTAGGGCTGGATCAGGTGAGTCCTGAACCATCCCTTAGTTATGCTGCTATAGGCCTAGACTAGCGGGGGATTTCCCATGGTGCACTGAGCTCCTCCCTTCCTCTCTCTTTCTGCACTCATTCATGTTCCATTAATGCATGTTACTAACTTCACTTCTTCCCCGGAGTTCTTGTGCTTTCTCGTCTCGCAGGTTCTTGTCGATCCTGGTGGAGCCTCCTGCTATGGTCCTGCTAGATTGCCATTGCCAATACTGTTGTTGCTGTGCACCTGTCTGTCTGTCTCTCTCTCGCTCTCTCTGCCTCTCTCTCTCTCTCTCTCTCTCTCTCTCTCTCACCCCAACTGGTCGAGACAGACGACCACCCACCTAGAGCCGGAGGATCTGTCCTAGGTTTCTGCCTTTTAACAGGCAGTTTTTCCTTGCCCTTGTCGCCAAGGTCTTGCTCATGGTGGTACTGTTGGGTCTCTGTAATTAATGTTTTAAAGAGTTCAGTCTAGACCTGCTCTATTTGAAAAGTGTCCTGAGATAACTTCTGTTATGAATTGGCACTATACAAATAAAATTGAATTGAATTGAATTTTTTTGCAGGTTTTGGGGTTTAGTTACTCTTTAGGTCACTCTTTAGGATACTTTCACATCAGGGACCCTGATACGAAAGTATCTGGATACGAGTACACTTGACCCCAAGTCCTTTGATTAGTGTGAACGCTGTGTACCGTACCCGGGCACAGATCAACAATCCACTGGAAAAGGTGGTCTTGAGTAGAGTTCACGGGTACAGTTCGCATCAGGTGTGAAAGCAACCGTACCAAAACACAGAAATTGACTGCTAAGTGACATAATAACTATCGTATGTCTTCTCTACACCGTAGCAACAACATAAGCAAATGTTGCGTAGATGACGACTTGAGTGTACTCAGGTACGCAACAACATTACTAATGTGAAAGCTGAGCGGTTAGGGAAGGAAATTGTACTCAGGCACAGTATGAAGAAACCCTTAAAGTGGAAATCTGACCATCTGCAATTCAATATCAAGATCATGTAATATGCTTAAAAGCTCCAGAATATCTACTAAATGGACCTTGATTTAGTAGCTCTAGAGACTAAATTACCTTGTTTCCAACATCAGGAATGAACTTTCAGTCCCGTTTATCATCCCATTCACACAGATCTGAATCTAAAATCCAAAAGCAGCCAATTCTATATCAACAAAGTCAACTGCATGAAGATATTCAAGAGGTCAAACAATATGGAAACACCAGCTTTGGTCTTTAGTTAAGGCTTCTGGCCCGGCTTGGGCTTCTGGTCACTTTCAAGACAACAACAATTCATCACATAAACAAAAGAACATGGCAGACACACGCAGCGTTTTAACTCGTGGTTCAAGATTTCGCTCTTATACATGACATTAAACATCATTTTCACCCAAAACACTTCAATCCAACAGATCTGGTCAAAGATGCTTCAAAGCCAAACAAGCATTCATACACAAACCTCCTGCTTGGCGTGGGGTTGGCCTTCCTCTGGCTACTAGTAGACTCTCTGAAGTCAAACATCCGCCCTTGTCCGGTTCAGAGATGTTGTTTGGCTTTTTTGGAAAAAAATACCAATTCGACATACGCTACCTCGTTGCCATTAACACGTACAGTTCGGCTTAACGGCTATTGTGGTCGAGTTACACTTTGTCCCCGAAAACCTGGTCGTGTCCGATGGCTCCAATATCGCTCAAAAAGAAAAGAATCGTTTGTTTTGGTTGGTTTTTTTTTGGTTTCCGTAGCCCTTTCAGAAGCTGAGTTTTCAGTCGTTTTGAAAGTACTTTTTCTCTCTCTCGTCTTTTCGGAGCCGAGGCAGAGCTCGTCCCCATCCACCACCAGCACCACCACAACCACCACAACCACCACGCCTGGACATTTCTTGATTTCCTCTGGCGCTACAGCCCTGAGCCAGACAGACAAAGGAGGGGAAGCCCTGCCAAGTCTCTCCACTGCAGGCATGGCTTTTCCTTTCCTCTCTGCTCCCTCGCTCTTTCTTCGTCTCTCTCGATTTGTGGCAGCGTTCCCGAGAAGCTTTGGCGATGCTCCAGCATGTCTGCCACCACGTCTGAACCCTTCCATCCATCCATCCATCCATCCCAATCGTCCTTTCGCGGTGGACCCCCGTCCTCCTAACCCCTCCACTCCCACATCCTCCTTCCCCTGTCCAACCCCCTTCAATCCCCCCCCCCCCACCCCGATTAAAAAATACTAAATTTAAAAGACTAATTTAAAATCACTCAAACTCTGTACTCCTCCCATCTTCCCATTTCTGTCTGTCTCTTTAACACTAAACCCAAATACCACCGAGTCAATACATCTCCTCCACACAACCTTTACACTTACTACTTATTTCTGTCATCTTTCTCTGTTTAATGTTAAAGGGTAGTGTGGTAGTGTGTGTGTGTGTGTGTGTGTGTGTGTGTGTGTGTGTTTGTTGTGTCTTTTGTTCAGTGCCAGTGCAGATCTATTCATCATGTGCCAAAGACTCAGCGCCCTCACTTGTAGTGAAGAGGGGGCAGATTGGTGCCAACTGCCCCTGACTGCCAACTTAGTGCTGCTGTCGGCCTGTTTGTACACACAGAAAACTCTCTATCTCACAAACACACACACATTACACGCAGTTTAGTTTGAGCCATTGACACGTTAGGGTGACAATTATCCTTTAGAATAAATAAATAAATCAACAGATGTATGGATAATACTGGAGCTGCTGATGTTTATCGTCAGTATCCTTATTAGATGTCTTTAAATTAGGGGCAAAGCAAATAATTCAGTATTATCTTTATAGACTTTAAGAGAAAATGTTGGGTTTTTTACATTATTTACAATGTTTAACAATATTCTTCTCTCAAAATTAGTGATTCTGAGCTTATTATAATAAAAACAAAGAAAATAAGCTATGGAAAATGTTTGTTTTTTGCGTGTTTTCTGATGTAACACAGTTATGCATTTAATTATTGCTTTAAATATTACTTTTGATTTGTTTTATGTGATTATGCATGCATTTTTACATGTTCACATCAGACTACTCGAGGCGGCTGTATGATCGCAGAGATGGCTACATTAGAAATTAGGGCTCCACAATTAATAGAAATATGAATGTTATTGCATTCTGTTGATAAAGGTAAGATAAGATAAGATATTCCTTTATTTATCCTTAGGAGAAATTCAGGTTGACACAGCAGCAATAGGGCACAGTAGTGCAAAAACAGAGAACAAAGAATATCACAATAAAAATACTACTAATATTATTAATATTAGAAGATATAAACTATTAATTAAAGTATATACACTATGCATTGTTCAAGTAGGACATGGAGTGCAAAATATAAGCAGAAAATTAAACTAAACTAAACATAAACTACTAAACTACTAAAGTGGAAATTAAATATAAATAGTGCAAAAGGCTTGTGCATTGTAGGTAGGAGTTTTAAAATTAATTAATTTAATTGTTTTACAAATCTTCTTATAAAAACATTTCACATTATCATGAATTTAATAGTTTTCTTTAGTAAAAAATTTAATTTGTGATGCAAAAATGCACAAATCTTGAATCACAATTGCAAAATCTGTCAACATAATCACAATATGATGTTTTCACTATATCATGCAGCCCTATTTAAAGTACTGTGCATCAACAATAGTCACTATAACCATTTAATTTAGGTTTAATTTCATTGAGCAATTCAGCATTTTCTTGGTTTTCAGGCACGTAAGTCTTAATAAGTCATATATATATAAATATTATAAGTTGGAAAGTCTTAATGCTTGAATTTGCACATTGTTTATATATCAGATACTTAAACTCTCTGCTATAATCTGACTACCTTAGAGTCAGTTACCATTACGGGCTTCCCAGCGTAACACCTGCATGTTTGTGTTGACTCAAAAACAGGTCACACAGGTACGCACTGACAGTTGACACGGATACAAAAAGTAAACTGCACAAAAACATCACAACCGTCAAAACAAAGTTAACTTTTAACAAAGATTTTAGGCGACAAAAAAAGCCAAATAAATGGATCCTGTGATGAGATTATTTTGTGAACTGAGGAAGACAGTGAGACACGATCAAAAGCTCCAGAACAGCTACCGAGCGGAGCCTGTGGTGAGGTTCGGTTTGTGAAGGTTAAAGTAATCTGCAGCTCTAATTATGGCTGCAGCGATCGATCCACTATGCCGTTCGGGTATCAGCAGGGTATTGATCGATCCATATCAAATACAGTTCCTTTGTTAATGCGATTGTGAACGCCACAGACTTTATCTGGATCTGTAGTTAACAGCAGTGGACTAATGAATGTCGTAGCCGCAGCAGCAAGAGGAGATAAAGGCAGTGGAAAAGGAAAAAGTTGTATTTCTTTTAAGTGAGTTGTGTATTTTTGTCTTTCTGGTTCTCATATATTTAAAATGTGGTATTTTTGAGATTCAGTATTCATACAGCAGCAGCTCATCCGTACTGCTACCAGCAGCTGACACCAGCTCAGTTCACCGTTACTTAATATAGCTTGATTACGTCAGAGGAGGAATGTAACTAAGTACTTTTACTCAAGCGCTTAAGTACCACTTTGAGTTACTTGTGCTTGACTTTCTTCTTTTCAGGCTTCTTACAATTCATTTTATTTTACAAAATTAAGATGTGTGGCATAACAAAACATACGAAGAGCTTATGAAATATGAGTAGTCACTAGTACAGTGGAAACAATTAATTGATTAATCAATTAATTGACTGACAGAATCATCTGATAATTCCTTTTAATTGTTTCACTTACTTAACTAATTTATGTTTTTTTAATGTTTGGACTGTTGAACAAGCACTTTCAGTTATGGTTGTGATGGCATTTCTCACTTTTTTTGCAGACTTTATACAAACCAAACAATTAATTGATTATTGGAGTAAATAATCAGCTGATTAATCCATAATAATAATAATAATAATAATAATAGTTGCCATACTGCACAAAATAGCTAAAAATCAACTCAAACTCAGCCAACTACAACTGTAAAACCCCTCTTTTACATGAATGCATGAGTAATAATAATCCAATAATACAGAATATTACTATAATATATACTTTCACTGCTTAAACTAATCGATTACATTCAGCTGACAGAGTATTACAGTGTTGGTGCTTTACGTAACACTTCCTCTAGTTGTTTCCGTCTTTAAAACTGAACCTGTTCCCATAAAGAAACACAACAAACAACCAGAAACACCGAAAAATAAAAAATTAAATAAAAAAACCAGCAGCTTCAAAAGTTTACCCACCGGAGCTAACGTTAGCACGCTAACGCCGTTAGCCTTACCGGAGACTTTGATGGTGTCGGTCCGGCCGGGCAGCGCGGTCTCGGGAGTGGGCATCTGGGCTTTGGAGGCCATCTCTCCCATCCTACTGTTGACAAAATGACGCCAAACCAGACGGAGCCTGGAGGAGGAGACCATTGATTGAACCTCCAACACAAAGACAACCTGCCGCTAGCTCCGTTAGCCACTGTTAGCTTGCTACATAACAGCAGCTTACCTAACGTCAACACAGGGGCTTGTGTAATGTCGACTTTTTACTCTTTTAATTCCTCTTTCCGCTGTTTAATTGACATCACATGTGCGCCGAATTTAGCAGATGGCCTTGTTGTCTCTCCAGTTTGTTAATAATACAGTTTTAAGATGCGTGCCTTTACTAATAAGTACAATAATACTAATTTGTTTGATTTTATGAATGGGGTTTGGTGTAGTTGCAAACTATCTCAGCAGTTGTGCTGCAAGATAACTCCAGACATGTTTCAACTGTACACAAGTACTGGAAAAACTGGACATTTAGAGAGTAGTTTTCCAGTGATAAAAACTTGTAAGTTGATAAAAAATGACCAGAAATTCTAGAAATAATGTTGTTCTGGAAAATTATAGGACAGTTTGTGAGCAACAACTATCCTGTATAATCAAGAAAAACTCCTGGAAAGTGTTTTTTTTCTTAACAAGAGTGTGAAACCTGTGTGCAGAAAACACCTCAGCTTTATTTCTGTTAATGTGTCACTGTTATTTTATTACACTGGTCCTACCAGTGGCGGTTTTTAACTGGACTGCCCTTTACACTGGGACAGGTGGTTCTTGCTCTGAGCTTTTAGTATCATTTACAGAAAGTTTTACTAAAAATAACATTTGTTATTGTTAAGTGATATGTTGGGTTCAAGTGCTGTTGGGTAAGTCAGGTATCTGGGACTGTATTGGCCTGTTGTGGGGACCAAACAATAAATTAAGATACATAAACAGAAGGAGCTGCAGTGCTGCAACTTGGGTTAAATCTGTATTGTTTATGTTCTATTAAAGTCATAGTAAAGTGACACATTCACCTTTCTAAATGTGGAATATTGGTTAATCTATTTAATTTTAAAGCCCTACATGGAATATTATACAGAGATTGTTTGTTGTATGACAATAATTTCATTATAATCGTATTATTATAACTTAAACAGCTTAAATAGCGCCCTATTATTTGACTTATTTGTCACAGGGAGTATTTTAATGCACTAAAAACACTAGAAATGTTCCAGGTTATGAAATAAAGTGGAGTGAACTTTACACACACAGCAACACGGACAGAAGTGGATGGAAAAAAACCCAGATTATGTCAGCTGTCATGTCCTAACTTGTGATTTTGGCATCGTGTTTGACGTAATCAACACCCAAGTTCTCCTATTTCCCTCTGCTTTTTGTGGCTTTTCTGTTGGCAACCACACGTCCTTCTATAGATCAACTTTACTCTTAACTGTTACACCTTTAATATCGCTTAAATTATTAATGTAGATGTAAATGTAGGAGAAAAAGGGCTTTAATCAGGGATA